CTTCTATTTTTCATTCATTCATCACTAATAATGCATGACATAGATTAATCGATATAGGTCGAGGCGTTTTGTTTTTACTGTTAGTCGGTATAGGTCAAACGTTTTGTTTTTAATATTCATCGATGCATCTAAGTAAATTATAAGTAGATGAATTAATTTACAAATAGATATATTTGATGATAAATTATATATACTAATTAGGATCTTCACAAGTCTATCCCTAAAAAAACCTGACCCTGTGGTCCTAGCGCTTCGTGTTCTTATATATATATATATATACGGCTATACCTCTATACACACACACACACACACACACACACACACACACTTCATTGTAATACTTTAACTATATATATAGCTTGTTATAGTATTTTTTTTTTTTTTTGTGTGTGTGTGTATATATAACACACGCTTCGTTGTACTACTTTAACTACATATATAGCATGTTATATATAGTATATGTTAGTGTATTCATTATTTGTATTACAAAAGTGTTAACGGATTACATTTATATTATTTAGATAGTAAATATAAAAATAATTTAAAAGTTTGACCAATGTTGATGTAATAACCGACCAACTTTGGTCGGTTATTTTGCAGAAAATAAAAATTACCGACCAAAGTTGGTCGGTAAATGCTTCCCCTGCATTAACCGACCAACGTTGGTCGGTAATTTTAAATATAAATTCTTAAATTTTATAAAATATTTTAAATAATAAAATAATTATTAAAATTTAAAAAATTGACTAAGCAAGTCTAGCCAGCTGTGTCAATTTGTTGACCAATTTACTAACCAAAGTTGGTCGGTATTTATTTTTAAAAAAATGTAAAATATTTTTTTTCCAATTTCCGTCCAAGCTGGACGATTTTTGGTCGCTTTTTTTGACTGACCAATGTTGGTCGGAAATTTTTGGTCGATTTTTAGCGAATTTCTAGTAGTGTATACTTTAAAAGCTAGTGGTAGCAGCTTCCTATGATGACAATTATTAGGTGGTGTCAGGTTGTGGCTGTGGCGGTACGGAGGAAGTTGGCAATGGTGATTGTGCTATTGAGTACGGACTCGAACCATAGACCTTCTCGGTAAAACAGTTCAAACTTATTATTATTAAAATGTTATGATATAAATCGATGTCAGTGAAGGTAATGGTTGTGCGACGAAAATCAGTGATAGAGGTAGTTATTACAAATTGTTTGTATAGTTGTTATGTATCGTATAATATTGTACTGTATCGTATATATGGATATATTATTTGGATAGACTGTATTGTTTTCCCTCGTTTCATGATGTCATGCATGCACCAACAATATGAAGAATAAACTTACAATATTATAAAAAAATAATAAGGTCTGAGGTAGAATTATTATATAAAAAGGTTGGGTAAAGAATAAAATATGATTATTTAATAATATGGAAGGGCAAGATTAGAGAAAAAAATAAGGGAGTGATGCGACCACATCAAATCGGTCGTTCAATAAAGTGGCACTTTTCGTCGTTACGTAACCTCCGATTTAATGATACGATACAATAAAGTTAAAGTAACAATCAAAACAAACACTATATCTAAAGTAACAATACGATACAATATAACATGTAACAACCATCAAAACAAGCTATAGAGAGGGAGAAAAAAACTATTTAGGTTCATAAACCTTCTAAAAAAGGAACACACATTACCTGTTAAATGGAATTTTATCATCTCTCACTTGAATATTTGTATTTAGATCATCTCCCATTCCAGCATAACTCACAGTAGCTTTAGTAAAAGGTAGCCAACCCATACCCTAATTGAAAGCTGCAAATCCTCCAACATTTCAGCTGTTGAAAAGCAAAAAAAGAGCTAGATCATTCTTCTAGCTATTGTAACAGGCCAAAACCATGTTATGCCCATACTAGAGACGGGCAGATCTAGCCCTTGGTATCGGGTTCATCTGAACCCAGTACTTTCGGTACGGGACCATAATTTTGTGTAAAATTTCATTAAAATGGCAACATATAGTATATACAAACTCAAATTTAAAATAATACTAATAAGTTCAAAACTAAAAGCTTTAAAAGTTGAACACATAAAGTTTAAATCTTGTATGCGCCTCTGACTAGAGACCACCTTTAAGCTAACGAAAGTTGATAATAGAACGAAAAAAAGAACAAAACTTATTCACACCCGGTGTTTATACCAGATTATAGTAGTTTATCAAGGATGGAAGTGAGAATACATACTAATTAACTATGATTAGTGATAAAAATATACGTGAAAGGCACACGTCCATCTATTAGTCGATTTGGATTTTGGTGTAAAAATTGACCGTGAGTAAATTTTTAATTTTTTTTAAAAAAAATTCCAGAAAGGTAAATGTGATCAGGAGGTCACGGATTCGAGCCGTGGAAACAACATTTTGTAGAAATACAGGATAAAACTGCGTACAATAGACCGTTGTGGCCTGACCCTTCTCTGGGCCCCGCGCATGAGAGGAGCTTAGTACACTGAGTTGCCCTCTCCAGAAAGGAGATTGTTCATTGTTCATAAAGAAATCTTTTGTGTGAAGCTATTTGGTGCCCATACAATACATTGCTTGGATTAGAATGAAAGCCAAGCAACCACAATGTTTTTGATAGAGAAAAACAGTGAGTGAGAGAGCTAACTTTCACGTCAATCTTCTCAAGTGGTGTGTGATTAACAATTTTTTTTTTTCAACCTCAAATATTATAGCTTTTTTCCCAACTATCCACCCTACCCAACACTGAAAAAGCCTTCTCACCAAAGTGACATAACAACTTCACATTACATTCCTATACCTTACCAATCTACTAGGAAATTGACCTGCAACACAATCTAAGAATATTCTTCTTTTTACATTTATTTGCTTTTATTGATTTTGCAGTTTCCTTATGGAGGTTTAGTCCAAAACTGTTCCACATTCAGAGTGAAGTAAGACAACAAAATGTCAGCTAAGTCGGATTTCGCTCAGAAGCTACTGCATGATCTTAGGCTTCGTAAAGAAAGGGTGGCTGCTGCTCAAAATTCAAGCTATTCATACTCCACGAGTAGAGGTAAATTAATGGAATGCCAATAAATGATTTTCTACATTTTACATCTTAAGATGTCATGATTGAATTATGCACGAGGATAAATAGAATCAAGATAGTAGATCACTTCTTCCTGTAGTTAGTAATGCAGTGATAACTTTGATATTTTAGACTGAAATGTGTTGAACTCGACGATAATTACACTGTGACAGGGAATTAGTACGTAGTTTGAGCACTTCGGCTCGTGCTGATGAGAGATGCAAGTTTGCATTGTTCAAAGACAAATTTTCAGATCAGAAGAATCACAGATAAAGGCTTTTGCAATATACAACTAAGAGTTGTTAACCTATCAGATGACTATTCATACGTCATTGAACTTCTGGTTTTCTTTCCTTTTCTCGTGTCCAAGAATGATTTGTTGACGCCCTTTCATGATTTGCACCATATCAATTAGAATATGTACCTTCTCTCTCTTTGCCTGTTGATACGAACTTATTATTACTTCAAGAACTAGAAGCATGAGATGCAAGAGTAAATCAAAGAGAAGCACATAACTTATATAAAAGTTTAGAGAAAACATACTTGGAGTATATGTACATTCACCAAAATATTGTTCATAATCAATCAGGAATTCCACTGTTTCCACATAGGTGGAACAAATTTTTCTGCAGGTTTCACATAGTAAGATGTTAGAGGCAGAAAAACTCTTTCCTACTACTAAGCAACAAAATGAAGCTTATTTAGAAGTTCCACATTTAGCCATATCATTCCTCAACTTTAAAGTTTGCAAAAGCATATGTTACAGATGATAGTGTCAAACTAAACTAGCGATATGTCTGAACTGACAGATGCTCGTGCTAATCCAGGACAAATTTACAAAGGATCTCGACAAACAAAAACTCTAGAATCCGTAAGTTCACTTGACAATATCAGGACACCTTGAGAATTTCTTGTAACAATATGTTCCATTCAGCTTACATGTTACAATTTGCAGGTTAATTCAAAAGTAGGGAACTTAGGTAGTAGGTCTAGCACCAGCAACCGATCATTTCGGATTGAAGAATCTTCAGGACAGATTGTTCCCTATGCTACTGGAAGAGTACAGAACTCTGAGAAAGTGGGAGATCTTTCAATGGCGCTCGCATTTGCTATTGAAAATGGAGGAAAGTTTACTAAGATGGAGTCTTCAAGTAGAAATCCTGTGCTAACATTTCTCCATCAATTTGGTCAAAGATCAATGGACATAAGTAAGATGGAAAGGAGAACCAGCATCGATAAGTATCAATATCCGAATAGTCAGTTCGCTTCCGTCTCACATGTTCATATCAATGAAGTATCTAAAGGGATACAAAAACTAAACCACATTCTAAGAGCCTGTTCCAATGGCCTTAATTTTGATAAGAACTCAATTGAAGTTGGGACGGAACTGTTGAAAGGAGCAATGGATTTGGAAGAGTCATTGAGGATGCTTGTGAACCTACAGGAAGCTTCGGATCGTATGATCAAGCCTCAAAGCAAAAGCCGGATTACATTACTCGACGAGGATGAGGAAGATGACAACAGCACTGTCAAGATTGCCGATCAGAAGCAAGTAGAGCGGCCAAGATTTTCATTCGATAAGCCCTCTAAAAACTCATATATCACCAAAGAGACAACAAAAAATGACATCAAACAGCGGCTTATGGCCTTAACATACCCCGATGAAACTCCTAAACTGCACGAAAAGCAACCTATCGGCCCTAACAAACTGGTGGCCCATAAAAGGTCAGCTAGTTGTGCCCCGGACTTAAAAAATCTGGACCAGAAGATCCAGTCAAGTGGAACGAAAGCTGGATCAGAGAAAGGGAGAATTTCAAATGTCATTGCGAAACTAATGGGACTGGATGAACTCCCAGCAAAAAAAGATAACAAGGCATCGAGGAAAGGGTCGGATTCCAAAAAGAAGCAAGAGCCAGTTTTGAAGAGAACTGCAGATCCTATTGGCACTCCGGACACTAAGAATGGGTCATCTCTTAGTGTTGACAAAAACATGATACAAAGAAGTAACATGCTACCAGTTCAGGATGCAAAATTCACGCTTAAAGCTGAATATGTCCGTGCATCTCCTAGCAGGAGCAATGACATGGTTTCTTCTGGTAGAGTTAAACAGGAGGAGCGGAGTATAGCGGTCAACAAAGATACAGGTTTGTTGCCCTCGGGCTTGCCAATGACAAACAACATGATGGATAAGCAACATAGTAAAAATATCCAAGTAAATCAAGTACCAGGACATCAAGTTAACTTGCAGCAGAAACAGAAAGAACAAAATCCGACTAGTGTAAAGGAGAAAATCACAAAAACAGTTGAAATCAAGGAGCCTGTCCTGAAGAGTGACTCACAGCCAAAAATGCCACAAGCATCGCGGGTGCCTCCAATCCATATTGTGTTACAAAAGCCTACTGAGTGCAAAGAAGATAAAATTCAGACAGCAAAGAAAGAGACAGATATATTCCCTTTGAGCAATGAAAAAAAGGAGTTAGATAAGGATGAAGTGCATCAATTGCAGAAGCTTAAAAAAGCTGAAGGACAAGATGAGAAGCATCAAGCAGGTAAGAAGGAGAAATCGCTCTCAAACAAAACTGTGCAAGCAAGAAAACACAAAGCAAATCAAGTGGAAACCATAACTTTACCAAAACCAAGGAATCGTTCAGCAAGTTTAAAGAAGAAGCAGTCTTGTCTGAACCAAGCCACACTTGGTACAAAAAAATCTACAAAGTCCAAAAATGAAACACCTTCAAAAGATTTTTCTAATGGTATAAAGCATGTTGCTCTTGCCAAGAATCGGAACTCTTCTACCTCTATAGTGATCACGCAAAGCAGCGAGAAGAAAAATGCCGATCAAAATGCATTGTCAAAGGAAGTATCATCTAGAGAAGAGAAGCTAAACAGTATCAATCAGTCATCTAAGCAAGAGAAGCCAATCATCAATCTGCCAGCTACAGACAGGAAGGGACGTCATACCGAAATTCATAGAACTGAGACCTCTCCAACTTTGCAAAACATGGAACTGCAGAAGGATGAGAGAAGCTGCTACAGTGGAGAAGAACAGTTGACTGAAAGCTTGGCAATAGAAGCAAATGTGGACAACAGAAGATCCGATGAGCTAGATGTGAGCATGGAGATACTCAATTTGCAAACAGAACTACATAGTGAAATAGAAAACAGTACCTCCTGCGAAGCAATTATGGAAAAGGAATGCGACAACCTGATAGGTTCAGAAAGTGTGATTTCAAATGAAAATGTAAGTTCATCTGTGAGAAGAAAGTTCGATCTAGTTTGTGATCTTGACAAGTTTTTAATGATTCAGAGTAATTTTATGTCTAGAAAACTAGTCGTACGTGTGCAATATCTTCATAACATGTTTTTTTGTATTCCTGCAGCATCAAGATAAAACACTGGAAGTACTTGAAATATTCATGGACCAGAAACATGGAGAAGATATGCCAAAGATATCAGAAGCTATCGACCAACTTAATGGTATGTTTAGACCATGAGTATTTATTTCAATTAGTTTGATTTCAGAAGAAAAGTAGTCAGATATACTTAGACATGTAAGCCATGTAGTTTTAACACTTCGGTTGCCTTAAGGCTTAAACCAGTATTATCACCTTACAATTAGAGATAGCAGTCCTATTATCCATTCACCCCAATGATTAGTGCTTTTCAAACTCCAACTAACTATAACCAAATATCACCAGCATCAAACTGGATGTTTCTACGCCAAATTATTCTTACTCTTCAACCTTCTTCAAGTTTTGTGGTCTTGCAAAATAAGATAGTACATAAGATGAAAAGCACAATAGACAAGCCGTGGAAACAACCTCTTGCAAAATGCAGGGTAAGGCTAAGTACAATAGACCCTTGTAGTCCGGCACTTCCCCGGACCCCGCGCATAGCGGGAGCTTAGTGCACCGGGCTGCTCTTATTAGATGATATATAGCTGATATACTGCAAGCTGGTTCTCATAGTTGACATTGCAGGGATTCATCAAGAGGTCTCACAGAACAGTAAGCTTTTCGATGATGAACAAAATATAAGTTTTTCAGCCAAATTTACAGGTACTGATATGAAAATCTTATTCCATTCATTTATATGTAAATAAGATAAACATTATAGATGAAGTTCCTCACCCTCTGATATTGCAGAAAAAGGAGGCACAAGAATCTCCAATATTGTTAGAAATGATCAAGAAACAACTCTCCCATTAGTGGCACAAGAACCTTTAACAGAACCTGAAAAGCACTTCAAGGAGTCAGTAATTAAAAATCAACTATTTCTAGAAACACAGCCGAGGCACTTTTCAAGCTCAATATACCAATCAGCATTCTCCATGCCAGTGATCAAAATAACCAAGGGGAAGATGTTAAACTTATGCTAGACTGTGGTTATGAGATAATGAAAAGGAAAGCGAGAAGACAGGAGCTAGCATTACATCCTTATGCTACAATATCCATTGGATATATAAAGACAAGGTCTTTGGATGATCTTATCAAGCAACTCTGCAAAGATTTTGTCACATTAAAGTTCTATGGCGGCGATGGGAATATGAGCGATGAATGTGATGCAGCAGATTACCTGCATAACATGATCGGAAAAGATATGCACAACAGAAATCCAGATGTGAACTCCATGTGGGACTTTGGCTGGAGTGAACAAATAATGTTTGCTTTTTTTGAAAAAGATGATGTTATAAAGGATGTGGAGAAGCATTTGCTCAATGGACTCATCGACGAGATAACGATGGATTTATTACGAATAGCCATTTCAGTATGATTGTTTGATAGAGTAAGAAAGTCATTTTGAGAAAGATTGTTGGTCTTATAATTATTGTGCAGTCTAAGTAGAGTTGAAAGTTGATGAAGCAAGTCTTGTAAGTAGTAAATCAAGAGGCAAAGTTTATAAGTAACACATTTTTGGATTTCAAGTCTATGCTAATTCATTTTCAATCATCTTATTTATTTAAGAAACGTTAAGAAAAGAGAAAAGTAAAACTTGCATCTTTTTCATATTGCTCAACACATATCAGAAGATCTTGAGCAAAAAGAAAATGAAACCAGAGTCAATATGATATTAGCTCTCATTATTATCAATGCTCCTTGTAACAGGCCTTAGGATTTGTACATTAGTAAGCTTATCAACAACTACCAATAAGATCTTTACAACTTTCTTCTACTATTTTGCTGTCTTTATTTTCAATTTATCTGCATCTACCTTGCTACAATAACAAATATTTGTCCCGAAAAATCTGACAAATAAATGAACTTTGGACCTAACTCAACAACCAACACTATATATTTGGAGTACCGATAATATAAGATAAAGTCCCAACATAGAGTAAATAATGAATTGTACATCTCGAATGTCGATAATATAAGATAAATTACATAACATAGGGGCCCAAAATTGGATAAATAATGAACGGGTGACTTAACTTAGCATTATAAAAAAATGAATCTTGGATCTAACTCAATTCCGAAAGTCAGTTCATGAAGCGAGGATTATCCAAAACTATTTAAAGAAAGAACATAAATATCGATGTGGGATTCACCGCGAAAATCATAAGGTAAGGTACAAACTACACTTAAAGTAGTATGGAGGAAAGCAAACCAATGTGCCGACTTTCCAACCGAGGCGCACAAATATGAAGAAGATTTGCTAATATGAGAAGATGTAATCAAGGATATAGAGTTTCTTCTCCTGATATGAGTCATGCGGTTTATGAAAAATATTGTTATAAATAAAATTGTATTTAAAGTATTTTAGAGAGATTTTAGGGTTTGTTACTTGGTGGCTAAATTATTATTTTTTTTATAAATAGAAGTGTTCTATTTCATTGTAATTCATCTCAAATCAATAAGAATTCCCTCTCTCTACTTTTCTCTGCAGCACGAGACTCTAACCAATTGAGTAGAGGCATATGCTTTGGTCACCATGCTTTGGGATATGTGCATGTTACTTAACTTGTACATAATATTGAGCATCATGATTATCAATTGTTCAATGACCTGACTTCATGATTAAATTCTCGATTTAAAGTAAGTATTTTACCTTATTTTTCTCTTTTAAATTCTTCAAATTCTATAATTTAATTTTAAATACAAGCAAAGACAATAAACTTTGATTATAACTCTAATAGAGTTGTAAGAAATTATAACTATCCGAAGTGGTAAAATTTTTATGTCTTGCCATGATTAAATTCATGTGTGATTGTAGTCAAAGAAGTGGAAACACATCCCATTGAATTTGCTCCATTCTCATTCCCTTAAGATAATGTGGTATCAATATGTAATAAGTGTGAAAGAAAATAAAATTATTACCGTGAATGTATCAATGGATGTGGACATGGTAATAGACGAAATTATAATCGTCATCATTGTGGTAATGAGAATAATAAGGATTCTCAAAATAATCCTTCACTCTATGAAAGTAATATGTCATCGATTTGACATGGGATTTTATAAAGCACATATAGATGGTTTTGGTCCATTCATGATCTGAATGTGACAACATGTGATTTATGAATACATATTCATTGTTGGAAGAATATAAACGTTGCTAGTGGTAGTGAATATACCACACTCACCTCTAGAAGGAGGTTTGAGAGGAAATAAAAAAATAATGTCATTATTATGGCATGAATGAGCATTGGTCACATACCTATTGTACGCCAAAATATTTTGGCAATGTGATTATTAAAAGACAACAGTAATGCAAGAGACAGATCTTACATATAATTTTGACCATGACCATAATGATATAACTTTCTCTTTGAAAGAGATATTCACCATATGTATGTTGATGAATATGTGGCAGTACAAAATTAATTGAGAGCTCTAGAAGAGCCAATTATTACTATTTGGGAGGAATACAACTGATTATCAATAAGGTATTGTCTCGTAGTAAGTCTCAAAGAAACTTATAGAGTTTCTAAAGTATTCGCGAAAGCGGTTGATTATATTGAGACTATAAATAAAGAAAAAATTTAATATCTTCTANCACAAAAAGTATAGATTCTCGGTCTTATATCCTAGCTAAGACGTTATCTCATAGTGGGTTGCTCATTTCGGCTCCAAATCACCAAATCTTCAAGTTTCCAAAAAATTAAAATTAAGGTATTCCGACTTAGTTTTTGTTAAAACACGTGTATAAAAATGCCTATTAGTTGATTTTTACTGTGCTCTATGTTATTTCGTAATTATTTTATGATTTAATTAATTTGTTATTTTTTTATCCAGATTATATTATTAGTGTGCTAAAAAAATTAGTAAAATAAAGAAATTATTATTAGTTGTTAAAAAATATTAATTAGTAAATTTTTACTGTGGTATATATTTTTTTGTGATTATTTTGTGATTAAATTAATTTATTATTTTTATCCGATTTAGATTATTTATTTGCTAAAAGACTAGTAAAATAAATAAATTATTATTTTAGGAATAATTAATCTTATTTAGATGTTATTGTTGTAATATATGAATATGTGACTTTAGTTCCTTGTAGTGGTATCTTGTGCCCTAATGTAGTGCTTGTATTTGTAATGTAGTGCCATTTTAGCGTAGTAAAATGTAGTGCCCTTTAGCGTAGTATCTTTATAGTTATTGAAATTAATCATTTAATTATCTATTAAACCCAAAAATATCTGAAAAAAGCTGATAGTTCAAACACAAACTCTCTCGAATTCTAGTCAACAAACATAAGAAAATAACATTAGAAAACAACAATATTTGTCAAACTAAATATTGTTATATGAATATTTAATAATTAAATCTTGTATAGTTATGAAAATTAATTATTTAATTTTATTATAGTCAAAAATAGGTGAGTAACAACAAATATATAAAATAATAAACTAACATATAAAATAATAAACAAACATATAAAATATTAAACTAACATATAAAATAATAAACTAACATATTAAATATAAAATTATAATATAGAAAATGTATCAACCTAATTAACAATATAGTAAAAATATCGAATAAATTTTAATATTAAAGATATTGTAATATATTTAAAGATGTTTAAGCAATGAAAAAGAAAAATACTTTAATTAATATTGTTCAATTTACAGTAGTCGTCATAGAGGTTCCGCATGTGCATCCTGGGCCTGCCTCGCTATAACTACTGTTGCTACAGGCAGAGCATAGGTCTTCGTACATATGAGAGGGGCAGTTATTGGCCCAGACGTTTCGTGCTAGACGAGTAGACGATATGTGGAACTTTCTTAGGGCCCACCATCTCCATCCCCGTATAGTCAGACGCCTTCAGGATACGGGTTTCTATAGGATTATTGAGATCGGCCGGTTGCAGCTGGACTGGTCGTTGATCACGGCTTTGATAGAGCGGTGGTGACCGAAGACACACACATTTCATTTACCCATTGGCGAGGCTACTATCACGCTTCAGGACGTGGAGGTTCTGTATGGGTTGCCAGTTAATGGACATCATGTAGCTTTACTGCATGCTCTCATAGATTATACGGGATTGCAGTACCTGGAGATGTTGCAGCGGCTCACCGGGATTGCAGTACCTGTAGGTTACTGCTGGACCGACGGTCCTTTCTACCGAGCCTGCCAGCCTTACGGACGATCATGCTGCAGCGCATCCTCCGATAAAGAGACGACGTGATGAAGATGATCATAATAGTGTAGTCGGGCGGGATGGGATGTGCCTCAGGCCAGCCAATGCTTTAAGGCATACAGGCCGTGGGACACATTGACGTTTTTGATTATCTGTATATATGACATTCAGTATATAATAGCAATATTATTTATGGTTTATAATATATGCGCATGTGTTTTAATTTCTCGGGTTATTTATTAGTTTAATACTACAACACAATAACAACACATAGCAACTTAACATAATTTAAATTTGGTACAACTAATGAAAATACATGACACGAAAAACATAAAGATAAAATATTACACTCAACACATCCATGTGTTTGTTTAGTCACTATCGCCCATTATTTTCTATTTTAACCACTTAAATTTCTCTTCCAACCTATTTTTTTCTTCTTCCGCCTCTTTTAATTGCTCCTGCACTGCCGCAAGTTGTTGTTGTAGTTTAAAGATCTGGAGTTTGTATTCACCGGTCATATTCCAAACATACTGCAAACATGATTTGTAGTATTCCTGGTTAATGGGTTCATCATACCATTCTTTAAATCTACATTGATTTCCGTCCTACCAATGGGGATTATAACACAACACTATTAGTTAACATTTTATATAAAAAAAATTAACAAATATTTTTTCCAAAACAATAAATTACAAGTTGTTGGCATATCCAACGTTTGCACCCCACATTACTATTTGACCAACATGGCTTTAAAATTGCACGTTTGCCACAATAACACCTTAGTACGTCATTGCGTCAAGACATTTCTTAATGCAAGAAAAATAAAAAATTTATGAAAAGTTTTTCTATTTGTTTTGGTTAAGCGCAAATAATAACTAACATGCGCTAGGCTTTTACAGGCAAGATAAACACATAACGCATATTGGTGGCGCATTATAATGCACGTGATAATGATTCTTTAGGGTACAATACAGCTTTTCCAGAACGACAACTTTTTTCGCTCGACAAGACAATACACATAACATACATTGGTGCCGTATTATGTTTCGTGTGATAATGATTCTTTAGGGTATAAGACAGCTTTTCCAAAACGGAAGCTTTTTTAGCTCGACAAGACAATACACATAACGCATATTGGTGTCGCGCTATGCATCACGTGATAATGATTCTTTAGGGTACAAGACAGTTTTTCCAGAATAACAGCTTTTTCAGCTCGACAAGACAATACACATAACGCATATTGGTGTCGCGCTATGTTTCGTGTGATAATAATTCTTTAGGGTACAAGACAACTTTTCTAGAATGACAGCTTTTTCAGCTCGACAAGATAATACACATAACGCATATTGGTAGCGTGCTATGCTGCACGTGATAATAATTCTTTGGGGTATAAGACAGCTTCTTAAACTGGTCCAAGACATCTATATTCAAAGACCATTTGAAGAAACATTACAACATCCATTTAAAAAATGCCACTAACATTTAATAAGTGGTTCAAAAGAAGCCAGAAGGGTGAAGGTAGTTCAACAGATCCCCATAGAACACGTCTTAACACTATCGATCCCTACCTTTAAAAAAATATACTAGGCTGCTATACTGACTTGGTTGATGACAAGTAGTATGGTGTTCTGCGTCCCTTAGAAAATAAGCCTATTAATAGACACACTGATCTCAAAGTTGCAGGGCATATTATTGAGGGCGAAGCGCATTCTACAAAGCCTGAAGGTATGCAAATTTGGGGCGAAAAACTACTATGGGTTCCCCTTTATTCAAAACGATGTGATTATGAAGTACTATGTCACTGGCATGGGATTGTTATGCCACAAGCACTGTTTGCAACCTTCCTAACAAGTACACACAAAGATGAACCAGAAGTGATTTGGCATTTGATGAATGAGATTCTAGAGATAGAAAATGTACTAGATGTTCATCATGCAATGGATGATCTTAACTTTCTGGGAGGAACGGAGGATCAGTATTGGGATTTATTAGAAAATGAAAATTGCATAGAGACGATGATTATCCTGTTTTCCCAATAGTTGTCGAGTGAGAGGGACTACCTAAGTTTCTACCAAAGACGTTGGACGTTGGAGTCCCATATTGTTG